TGCGATCAGAGTTTCGGGCTAGAAAACGGCCCAACAAATTTCATAGAAGGAGCGACTCAAACCATATCTATGTACCAAAGAAAACACCCTAGCACACTCATAACTGTGGCCTGGTAGCCATCCAGCTCATAAATTATATTACTCCCGAAAATGGACAAAAGTTTACATACTCCTTGAGGAATCTGCAAAATCTGCAAAAAAACTTTTGAACAGGATGAAGATTGTTTGGTAAACAGTTGGTAAATTGTTCTTATTTTGTTTAAATATCATATTATTTTCCAATTAGTACTACCCTTCGGAAGCTACAGAAGATAATTATGTTTCCCGGAAGACAAATTCAGTACAATGTACCTTGATCTTCAAATTCATAAAGTTTACACCCCCAGCATGTTTCCTTCTGGAGTGCTTGAACCTTTTGGAATACCCATTCAAAAAGTTTGGGGTCGGAAATACAGTAAATACGGTCTTCAGTTTCACATGATAACTGAAACAATAAGAATTCACAATATTGTATTGCAGGTGTGTATAATGAAATATTTTATTTCAAAAGGTCTTTCAGAAGTTTTCACAAGGACAATTTTCTCTTTTGTGAAATGTTTATAAATTTTTGTTTACTACACTTTAAGGAAATTTCCGTCAAAAGGCAAAAGTTACTAGCCACTACAAAGCAATTCTTTGATAACACTAGCGTTATGTGCTTAGTTCAAACAGTCTCTCCACTTTTGCATAGGCAAGCACCATTAACACTGCATTATGTGTGAGTGTAAAGGTTCTTTGATATGCGCGTTATTTTATTATAATTTCTCTGCTGTATCCTTGCATGTTGATACTCAAACGTGGACTACGTGTGTTGAGTTTGTCCTGGTTTTAAACTTATCCCACCTGAAGTGTGTCACCAGGTCTTGCGTCACAACGTTCCAGAATGGACCACTGTGTCTATTCCCCCACTGTCTCCATTAATTAAGACCCATCATCAACCGTTCGCCCCCCGAGGGAGAGACAGACAAAATAATTAAAATGATCAATGAAGAGAAACTACAGCCCATCTAAAGGTGAACCCAGCCTTCACTCCCACATTAAACTAGACCACAGGCTTTAAAAAACACACCAATGCTGCATACGCCTTCTCAGAACTTATAGCAGCTTTTCTTTACAAGACAATGATTACATTTGGACATAAGTAGTACCTTCGTAGAGAAATAGTTCAGCCATTAATATCTTGTCATCACATTCACCCTCATTTTATTTCAAGTCACCTTTATTTATATAGCACTTCTTACAATACAGATTGTTTCAAAGCAGCTTTACAGAGATATCAGGAAAATAATGCAACACAATTTGTTTCTAGAAGAAAATAGCGTCATAGTCCAGCTTAAGTGAGTTCAGTGATGGTTCATTGTTGTTGTAAAAAAATATTAATTTAGTTAATTTATATATCTAGCCGCTGTGGAGAAAACCGTGATCCAAGCCCACATATATTCCTCAGTGGAACACAAAGGTGGAATTTATCCAAGCTGCTACTTTGCAACTTGTCAAGCTGCAAAAATGCTACAAAATGGCCTTTTTTTGTGAGTAACAAAGCAAAATTGATCACAGTATTTGCTGATAATCTTCCTCCCTGCTGCAACTGCAACAAAATGCACTCAAGTTGGCTTCTCAGGACGCAGCTCTAGATTTGACACAGTGACACAAAACGGTATTCGTTGTCATGTTTCGTTACTGAATGCAATCCACTGAGTTTGAATGTGCGAACGCGCAAATTATATAATTAAACATTATAAGACATTCTGCTAAACATCAATGTTATGATCCATGGAAAAATGTAAGTCGTTTGGTTTTGAACAACATGAGGATTAGTAAACAACAATGACAGAATTAAACTTTTCGAGAGAACTATGCTCAAAGAAAATCAGAAAATCTAAAATGACGTCTTAACAGTAATTCACCTATATCTCTTTATTTATTTAAACAACTGTTCCCAGGGATTAAGTCTTTTAACAAAATCAAATTAGCGGTGCGTGTCATCAACGCCGTTATGAATACGTGGAAGAAAGCCAGAGCTCTGCATTATAGAGACGGAAGTTCATCCCTGCACAGCTGAACATATGCAGATGCCCTTGCAGCTCGGCCTTGTCTATTGAGTGTCTAATTAAGTGCATTTCACGCTTGTGTGGTCACTTTGACGAGGAGGTGACTGAGAATGACTGCGGGGTAATTGGACTGGATGTAACGTGCGCCGTCTCAAAACCACATCCTGCCACCGTTGGCGTATACTGCGCTGTTTTGCGTGTGGTGCTCTAACATGCGATACAGTTGGGAAGATTTCCATTGCCCGTGCTTACCCTTGAAGGGGAGACCTGTCCTTCCTGTTTATTGCTGGAAGTAACGTCCATTGATTTTCATTAGGACCCTCTGTCCGTGTCTGGCATTGCAGATAATCTTCCCTTCCTCCGCGTGCGGAGCTCATTGCACCTCCAGCTGGAGCGGTTACACCACGTGGGCTCCTCAGGTGGCATCTCAGGTGGCTAGACTTTTGGCTAACTGCATGAAAGCATCCATGTAGAGGAAGATGCTGTCTGACTGATATGTCAAGAAACCAACCACAGTTTGTTTTACTTATTTAGAGGTGGGGACATCTGAAATGGGATGGCAAATGTGTGTGCCCAAAATTGTAGGCCGTGTCCTTTCCACACTGTAAAAAAAAAAAAAAAAGATTCTGTGAAATTTATGGTGGAAAACGGCAGCCGTGGTTCCCAGAAGTGTACAGTAAAATATATGGTAGCAATATACACTGAACCACCTCCCCAATACATTTTAGAGTAGCCTTTTATTGACAGCCTAAGGCACACCTGTGCAATAATCATACTGTCTAATCAGCATCTTGATATGCCACACCTGTGAGGTGGATGGATTATCTCGGCAAAGGAGAAGTGCTCACTAACACAGATTTAGACAGATTTGTGGACAATATTTGAGAGAAATAGGCCTTTTGTGTACATCGAAAAAGTCTTTGAGTTCAGCTCATAAAAAATGGGGGCAAAAACAAAAGTGTTGCGTCACTATGCAACACATAACGGCAAGCGAAGATTTAAAAGCATTTGGTTAACAGAAAAGACATTGTTATTTAAGAAAGGAATGTATGAAATCCAAATATCACAAATAATTGTTTTCCCACTGTAAATTATAAGATGACTTGTTCCAAAAACTGAAAATGTAACAATATTTATTAAATGCTCTGGTAGATTATACTTTTAGTTTTACCAAATATAATAAGGAAAGTTACTGTTAACCAATGAACAGGTACGATGTGATAAAGCGACAAATGATATTGGGGGGGAAATACAACAACTCGGTTTTCTTTTCAGAGTCTGTTTCTTGGTTTTAGTTTATATGGCACCATACTGTGTAATCCCACCCACAGTGAAATTGGTTTCAACGTCAAATGTTCTGATTGGCTGTGATTGTTGCATCAATTTCGCTTTCAAGTGTTGATGACTTGCTGCTTTGACTACAGCTCTTTTCTATGGCGGTGTGTTCATATTCAGATGAAGAATAGATTGGTTCAACAGGGTTATCACAGTACAAGGTGTTTGAGGAGAATAACGTGCACCATTCCGTGTCCCGTTCAGCAGACACAAGGCCTTGTTAAAAGGGTTACTATTATTATACCCACTAGGCCTTCACACAAAGGCTCATCTTGTTTCAGCCTGCCCTTTAATTTCATTGTTGTTTTTTTTCTTCTTCTGCACCGTCAGAAAATGTGTCAAGAAACCTAAATGAGGGTATTAAATAATTGGTGAGAAAAATTAAAAGGAGAAACATGAAAGGTCAAACTAAATAGAGAACTCTTAATAATGAAAATTGTCACAAACTCTGGCTTCTTTCTATGTTCCTAACGGGATCTTTTTGCACAATTTTGTAGCACTTCATCAATTTAATTTTTTTTGTTTTATTGTTAATAAAGGTTTCTTGCACCAAAAGAAGGTTATTAATTATTTTAGTTTTCTGTTTTTGCAACCCCACCTTTAAGACTTACATTAGTATTAGAGATGTGTAAAACTAAATTATATCAGTATCAAATAGCCATTTAATTGGTATCAAGGAGTCAATCATTGCGTAGGCTTCTTTTTGAGTTCCTATAACCATGATCGGGTGCTTTTGTTTGGGGACTTATCATAGAAAGTGTTCTTGCTGCTTAATGGAATGGAAGGAAATTAATTAAAAATGTAATTATTTTTAACCAGGTTTATTATACTAAAACTAAAACCATTAAAACATTTATATTTCTGTTAATTGAAATAAATAAAAAATACTGACTGAAAAAAACATTTTAAGCTAGTTTCATTTCTTATTTTTCACTGATTTAACGATGTACTAAAATAAATTAAAAAAAATGTAAATTAAACAAATACAAATTTAAAAAAAGCTCAATAGACATTTTAAAAAACATACTAATACTTAAATTTGAAATTGAAAATATAAAAATGGAAAAGAATTTAAAATGTTAAAACTATAATATTATCACATTTATGCTAATATAACATTGTTTAACACCAAATAACACAGAACGTTACAAATTAAAGTACAAAAACTATAGAAAAAATGTAATCTAGTCGACGTCACTAATAGTCTGTCCAACAGTTGGTTGTTTATCACAGCGACTCCCAAAGCTTTTTGTCAATCGAACCCCTTTGACCTAAAATATTTACTTGAAGTACACCTGCGATTTTACGTTAATATTTAAATAAATTCACTCATTTATTCACAGTTGTTAAATAAACTTTTATCAACTACTGTAATTTATTTAGTGGACTGTTAATAGCAATGTACTCTATATTTTTTATTTTATTTATTTATTTTACTGAACCAAGCTGTGTTCAACTGTGGTCATATTTTAATGAGCTTATAATTGTGATGTCAGAATGAAAATGTCAGAATGAAAATCGATATGACCCCTTGAGTTGTGACAATTGATGACACTGTCATCTTTGTGTTCGCAGGCGGAGCCTGAAGGATTCTCTCATTTCCATTTGTACGTGTGTGCTGCCTTCCTGGTGCGATGGAGGAAAGAGATACTAGAAGAAAGAGATTTCCAGGTAAGAGAGTATTTGTGTGGTTTTGTGCGGTCCCCCGAGCCGCAGAATGTGTCGTCCTTGCGTGAGCCCCCTCCTCCCTCATTAACTGGCAGGGTCGAGGGGTCACTGCGCCTGCATTAGTGTGATGACAACAGCAGCTGCTGTAAGGTGACATTGTACCGTCCCTTTGAGACTCTTCTATTTCCCGTCCCCTCGCACACTCACTTACTTGTACCATGCGATTGAGAGGTAAAGGGTTTAGGCATGGAGGCTTGGAGAGGGCAGATGTGTCACCAGAACTACAATATGAGTGTTTATTTGATCAGAACTCCCACTCCTGGTACTGAATTATTACTTCTCATCCTGTCTGTCAATCAACCATCACAGCTATATACATATATATACAATTTAGTCAGGACTAAAAGACTATCAGTATTATTTTACATGTGATAACTTTATTCAGTTTCTGTAGCATTTCTGAATAGTAGTGTTAGACCTACCCAAAAACTTTTCTCTTTATTTGTATCTTTATTATTTTGTATACATTTTTGCTACTTTTTTTCAATTTAATTTTACAGATTGAAATCAAGGTTCCTTGTGCTGTGTAAACTCTTAACAACAAAATTATGCCATTGTAAAAATGCAATGAGTGAGCAAACATTTAGGTGAGATAAATGTAATAAAAAAATGGTCTAATGATGCCCATCGGGCATTTAGCTCATTGGAAAAGGATGGAAAATGCCCTTCGTTTTGTTTCCACTAATAAATGCTGCTGCCTGCCTGCTGCAATCACCAATAAAACATTGTTCCATTTTTTTTATTTTTTTTTATCGTCATTAATATCATTATGTAAATATTCTTGAAATATTGTGATATAATTTTGAGGCTTTACCTCTATTGTGGTGATACAAGCATTCAAGCAGTTGGCATATGCTATAAAGTATGTATCACCCTAATTGAGTATACTCTCTGTATGTGGATAAATGTATATATAGATCTGTGCGATAATACAGTTTACATTTTACAATGATGTAAAAAAAAAATCTTATGTAAGTATGCTGTATGCATACTGGTAAAGTAGGATGGATTATATATCCAATATTTGTTATATTGATGGGTAATAATATAGTTAATTTTTCTGCATATAATCAAGTACTAGTTGAGATTTGCCATAATATATGTCGCTTTACGTGTGTATACTCAATGTATCAGAGTAAGGTTGAATATACTTATAATAGTTATATAATTCATTATTAATTTGTTGTTATTTGTCAACATAAAATTTTCTTTATTTTTTTTTGTAATTTTTTTTTTTTTACCAGGAATATAACAAATAATTACAAATATCTTTATAATAAAAAAAAATATTAACATGTATTAACTATTTCTGAAAGAAACTTTCTTTTTCTTGCTGATGTTTCTGCATAACTCGTATGTCATTCCAAATGTATATGGTGATTATTTTGGGGGGAATTTTTGAAGAGAGAAAAAAAAAATCACTATGATTGAATCATTAGCTACCAGTAAATATCAGAAACTAAACGAATCGTTCTTTTGAGCCATTTATTCTAAATAAACTGGTTGATTTACAAACTTTACACACTGCAAACTTTCATTCCGGTATGGAACACACACTTCTGCCCACTAATCAGTTTCTTATCAATTTCCTAATAATCAAGCCCTGTCCTACTTTTCAAATATTCTATTTCAATCATGATTACAAAACTAAATTGGGTCTGAACAGCATTCACAATCCAGATATCCAAATACTACTTTTTTCTTTTGAAATCTTTGCCTTCGCTTTAGACTTGCATCTCTGTGGAGTGAATAGACTGCTCAGTGTGTGTGTGTGTGTTGTTGAATATGCAGCGAGTCAGTGGTGTGTATCAGCAGTGTGTTGTGGGGCGGTTGATTTATTGTGTTTACAGTGCCCAGTGATTCCGAATTATCCCCTGCACCAGCTCTGCAGCACAGGGCTGCTGTTTGGCATTCAGACAACAGCCCCGGGCCTCCGTCTTTACCCGCCTGTGCCATGTGTCAGCAGAGAGATTATTTCTCCTATTCTGTCTCCTTATCCTTTTGTTTCACTGTATATTCCTTTCCCTTTTTTGCTGATTTGTTTTCACACACATGACCGTTGATAAGCGATAGCCTATCGTGCCCTGCAAGACTGTCATGCCATAGACCAGTTAGAGGTATAGTGGTGTTATGGGAGATGTGTGGCAAAGAAGTTGACTTTGGTGCGGCTCTGGTCAAGTTCCCCTACAGTTCCTTGCAGATTCTTCACTTTTTTTTTGTTCTAGCTAGTCTTAAAACAATTTGCTAGCTGTTTTCCAAATAAAGTTTCCTGATTTAGAACGCTCTCCATGCGCTGCTCACGGCACATGGGCGATTGATGTTAGCATAAGATAACCTAAGATAACTAAACTCTAGTCTATTAAAAATAAATATAGTGATGCCTCAGTTTTAGCAACCGAAAATATTTGTCCGAAATAGCTGCCTCTTCTTTTTTTTTTTTTTTTTGGTGCTGTTTCTGACCATTTATTTTGGTTTCTAAAATTGAGCCATTACTATCTTTATTTTGGATGAATGGATGGATGGATAGATAGACACTCAACTTTCAAGTTCTTTCAATTTCATCACAAATTTCACACACTTTTTTTTGCATTATGTGCCATTTTTGTTTGAGTACAATTTTTATTTTAGTGTTTTAATTATTAAATTTGATTATTATATAAAGTAAATGTTCAGTTTGGGTTTTCAGCTAGCTGGAATCTTCACTTAAAAGTTTGTATTTATAATCAGCAAATCTCTCAACTTTTCCACCATCTTGAATTGCTTTTTTTTCATTGAGGTTGTTCAGGGCTCGACAAGAAGTGATGATAGTATCACTGGTCCAATCAGAACAGTATTGCTTTGTCACAAAAGTTTATCATTTGCACATTTTTAAGTCTTGCCAATTTAAACATTCAAGTGGTTTTAAACCATTTAAGCACAAGACGACTCAAAGGAATTATGCACGCTGAATTATGTCAAAATGGCCACCTTGGCGAATATCCTCTTAAGCACAGTTTATACAGTTAACCTGTTATTGCTGTGCATTGAATGCAAGTCTTATGTAATGCTGAGAAATACACTCACCTAAAGGATTATTAGGAACACCAGTTCAATTTCTCATTAATGCAATTATGTAATCAACCAATCACATGGCAGTTGCTTCAATGCATTTAGAGGTGTGGTCCTGGTCAAGACAATCTCCTGAACTCCAAACTGAATGTCAGAATGGGAAAGAAAGGTGATTTAACCCTCTGGGGTCGGCGGTCTCGCCGGCGATACCAGCTCACTTTTTTCCTTATCAGTGCAAAAGAGACTCAAATTACTCTGTTGATTTTGATCTTACATATAAGTGTTGTACATCATTCGATCCTGTTAAGTTTGTATTTTCTTTGTGGAACCTCATAAAAAAAAAACAAAGTGTTGTGCTTTTCGCCTAATAAAGAAAAATAAACATGATGCGCGTTCTGCGTTCTCTCTGTCAGTGAAGTCCATTCTGAAACGCGTCCGAAAAATGAACTGTAACTCTGCAAATACTCAGTCAAACAGATATACAGGCACACAGGCATGAAGCCTGAATTATCTTCTTTTAAATGAAGTAATTTATATAAAAAACAAATTTTCTCATTTTATGTAATCTGTACGAAAAGAGAGAGATGATAGTCGTTCTCGTCTCAGCTCATTAAAGTTAATTTGACCACGCCCACGGAGCGCGCGCTCTATTCAAACACAAATGCTCTCAGGCGATCCACGCCCACACATCAGCTGGATAACCCACGAAAGAGACTCATATTTACGACGCTGTGAGGAATAATACTATCTTAATAATAAACCTGGAAAAAATTACCTCAGAAGTACAGGTAGGCCTAGTTTCATTTGGAGGAGCAACGGATCCAGCTGAGGAATAGGTACATTCTTTATTTTCAAGTGCTTTGTGCTAATCGCGATATGGAATAGTGTCTGTAAACAAAAAGACTGTTTGAATCGCGTTTTTGTGTGTGAATGAATGAACAGCTTTTACCTAACTATATTCCAATACTGAGATGAGTAAAAATCGACTGAAATATGTTGAAATAAAATATTTTTGTATAAGCAACGTATTAAACTGCAAATTAACATGTATATGTCCTAATCATAAAAACGATGTTACATATAAAAGACAAGATGTCGTTTTTACTGTAAAATTCTGCCACATCAAATAAGCTTGTTTGCTAAGATGTTATTATAGTGTTTGTTCGATTGTAGGCTATATTCAAACTAATTAATCCGCAACTGTGAAATATGTATGATAAAATGTATACTTTAGTATATACAAAGAAAGATTACATTTGAAATATAGTTAAAATTTTAATTGTTGTTGTAATTGTAACCTTTTTATTAAAATAGCAAAAATATATGTAGGCTACATATAAATAAATCTTAGGTAAATCTTAAAAGCTCAATATAAGCCTCCTCTTTAAATTATTTGTATTGTGTTTTATTAGTGACACATTTGGGATATATTCCCAAACTTTCTGTAAAAACAGTATGATAATTAACTGCACAATTACTAGAAATTTTTACATTTGATATTATACAATTTGCAAGCACAATTTGAAAAATAAATAAATAATTGGAACTGTGAACCAATTTTGTATTATATAGGCATATATATATATATATATATATATATATATATATGTATTGTCATTGCATTCTTGTGGCTCAGTGACACACCTGAATGAAAGGGTCATTAGTATGCAGCCCCATTATGCGCTCATTATGCGGGCCCATTGTCTTCTCAGGTGTGAATCACAGCAGGTCACACCCCTGCGCATATTGCCTTTCCAAACAAAAAGTGTCATTTTTAAATTTAAACCAATCTATTGTTTTATGTGAATGATAAGGCAGGATGATTTTCAGATCATTTTGAAGAAAAAACTCTAGGCGACAACATCCATTAGCCAAAAGTCTTGTGGACACATATT